CCAAATGGGATGCATTTGTGTCCTGGGTGTGCGCTCCCGGTCTTCTACCCGAACTTTATCCCCAACGCGGAGGAGAATGACTTCGAGGGGTGCCGCATCGTCCCGGAGTGGGTGAGGACCATGGGGCAGTTCAAGCCCAAGAGGATCCCCGCCGAAGTGGTCGGAGTCATCAAGAGGAACCTGATTTCCTATTCGATGGCGTCTGACCTGAGGATGACGGTGCAGAGTGGCATCAGACTGCCCCCTTATCTTGGTGAAGACAAGGGAGGAGTTGATACGGCGTGGGATGAGCTGGCGAAGGTGCTCTTCCAATTCTCCTATGTGTCGGGGATTTCGGCCTCGGATGCGTTCGTGGAGAAGTGGGTGGCGAAGCACCTGATTATGACCAATCAAGTCGATAGATTTGATTCGGTCACGGAGTACTTCCGTGCTAACCCGAGGCATGCCGCTCAGTGGGGTAGGCGTATGACGACTTCCGTTAGGAAGTTCGCTCGTCATGATACGTACTTATCCTTCTACATCCCGATGGCGTATGTGATTGGCTCCGCGGCGGGTCATCTGACTCCGTTGTATCCGACCCATCGGAAGGACGTGGACATCCTGGCCAGCCATGCGTTGATATCGCAGCTCAGGGGGTACATGGTGTCGGCGACCGGGTACGATGAGAAGAAGAGATTGAAGGAGGCGATAGCCAAGGTGCAGAAGGCAATCAGTGCCGGGCAGTCGGAGCCTCCCGCTCCCTTCCGTGACCCATTCGTCTACGTTAGTGACGAAAGGGTAAGGACGGTCCTTGATGGTCGTCAACCGGAGCCATTGGACGTGGACATCGAAGGGCTTCAATCGGTGCATCATGCTGCACAGGGTCCTGGTCCTAAGCAGGAGCCGATCGTCAAGGGCGGAAAAGGAAAAGGGAAGAAGGGGGAAAAGGGCGGTAAGGGCGGTAGCCCTTCCGGCCCACCACCAAAGTCAGGTGAAGTGCCAGGAAAAGGGTCTGGTAAGGGCGTTAGTCCGTCTGTCCCGCAGGCAAAAGCGAAGGCTGATGCTGGGCCGGCTCCGATGGAGGTTGATGCAACTGTGGCCCAACCGAAGAAGACTTGGGTCGCGATGGTGGTTGAAGGAGCCAGGCCGAGCGCAAAGGCCAAAACGACCCCGGTTCCAAAGGCCGAGCCAAAAGGGAAGGCCGCTTCTGTGTCTGAGGCGAAGAATGCTCCGGCTCCGAAGGCTGAGGCTAAGGAGACGAAGCAGGCCGAACCGAGGGTTGAGGTCAAGAAGGAGAAGGTAGGCGGAGACGACGCTCCTGGCGGTAGTCGGGGGTCGGCTGAAGGGCAGAAGAGAGAAAGGAAGTCCCGTTGGGATCCTGACGAGACTGTGAAGGAGTCGACGAAGCGAGAGGCATCGACGAGGCCTGATGACGTCGACAGCAGACCAGGTGCGGCAGCGAGAGAAGCTAGTGGGGATGATCTTCACTCCGCGCTTGGCAGATCTTCGGCAAAGGACGCGGTAGCGCCTTTGACGGCCTCCAAGGCAATGGCAAAGAAGCCTGAAGGCGGTGAGATCAGGTTGCAGTCAGCTGAGCGAACTGCGGCGAGCCCGGTGGAGGGTCACTTCCTGGTGCTGCCTGGGAGTTCGGTGGTGGACGCTCTTCTCCACCAACAGAGTGCTGAACAAGCAAGTCAGGGATTTCATTAGAAATGGTGAGGACGCGTCAGCACTGGAGGCTCTCAACCAGATCGTGACGAATTCTCGCTCTGCGAGAAGACGTAGGGAATCGGATGTCTCCCGCACTCCTTCTCGGAGGTCCGTTAGGACCGTGGACACCAGGGATTCCAGAGAATCGAGAAGGCGCAGATACCGTCCGCGGCGCGAGGATGATCGCGACCGGAGGAGGGACGATGCTCGTGATCGTCGTGATGATGATTCACTAGATCGGGAGCGAGATCGAAGGCGAGATGATCGCAGGAGATCCGAAAGGGATCGTGACAGAGACCGCGCGCGGGGCGGACGTGACCGGAGGAGACGTGATGATAGCCGATAGGCTGAGTCACGAGGATTGCGGCCGGTAGGCTAGCGTCCATTCTCCAATGGTCGGCGCGGTGCGGAGGTGGTGATGTTCCTCCCGGACCGCTGAGGCGCGGAGGTCATGTCTCTCCCGTACCGCTGCTGGGCTGCTGGTCGTGTTCATCAGGAAGCAGTGTGAGTGAGGGGGAAAGCAAACTGATGGGGGGTTACTCCCGGGTTTGCGGAATTCAAGCATTTTTCAGGTACGCATGGTCAGGAGTACCTCTTGCCGTTAGGCGAGGGTACTAATGGACATACGTTATCTTTTTTTCATGGCTTCTGATAAGAATTAAACTTCTTGCATTGTTGATGCAAACAGTTGTGGCCTAGTGTCGTCACGTGGACTTTTCCACAAGGTATGTTGGACAGCGTTACCCCGATTAATTCGGGGTGGTGGCGGGAATTTAATGCCCGGGATGTCGCGCAACTGCCTTTGTGGGTTTGCTCCACCGCTGACGGCGGTAGTGTCCAGCTGTTTGCGGACGCATGCGAGCAGTTAAATCCTATCAGTAAATGGCACGCTCCACCCGTCATATGACGGGTTCCTCGTGAGGGGGGTGTGATTAGCCATGATTCATTTCATCAACAGGGATGTCGCGGTAGTGACTGACCTGTGATGTTTGGCTCAAGTTTTACGGGTTCCGTCGCGCCTCGGATGGGCGTCGCCGAACCCCTGCGTCGACCGACGGCATCTCGGGGGAGAAAGAGACCTCGGGCCGCCGACAGGTTGGTAGGGACCATTCGTGCGGCCTGTCGTCGATCAAGGTTGCGGGTTAACCCTTTTCTCTTTTGGTTGTTGTTCTCTGGTGTGTGGGAAACCCTGATCTTTGGGACCGGGGATTGGTTTGCTTTTGGGGAACCTTTCTTTTGTGGCTTGTTTACCCCAACTTACCCATTGCCTGGGCACAGGCTCGCGCCCGAATCACAGAAGAGAACACATCTTGGGGACAGCTAAATGACACGGTTTTCCTAACCCCATTTGTTGTTTCTGGGACTAGCTTGCGCGGGACAAACTGCGCAGAGCTACTTTCTTGTAGGAATCTGCTGCGCAGGGCAATGCGCACATGTGACATGTGAGCTACTCGCGCAGAGCAACGTGCGCGCAGAGCTACTTGACAGAGCTACTTGCACAGAGCAATTTGCGCAGAGCTACTTGCGCAGGGCAACCTGCGCAGAGCGCTTTGCAGAGCTACCTGGCCAAAGAGACTTGTGCAGAGCATGTTCCCTCGCTGTAGGGTCTGCGCAATTGCTGTAGAAAAGCTGCGGGCTTTTGCTACTCTTCACGTTTTCGCGTGCTGTCTGCTGGCTTCGACTTCTTCATTTTCCCGCGTGGCCCTCGGCGTGGGGATTTCATCGGCGTGGTTGGCGAGCGAAAGCTGGGGGCTTTTCCTCTCTGCGCGGAAGGGCGTGGCCGACGTGCAAAACCCGAGCAGGGCTTGCTCGACTTTCGCGGGGCGCGCGCAACCTCTGCCGGGATCGGCATATTCGTGGCACAAAACCTGGGAACTTTTGGTACTTTTCGACGCTCGTGCGCGTCTTTGGAAGTTGGCTTGGCAAGCTAAGGTCGCAACACTTCAGTACAAAAGTTGTAGGTAAGTACGTTCCCGCAGAATGATGTTGAGCATCGCAGCTTTTAAACGCAAAACTGGCACACCAAGTGCGGCTGCTCCAGCCCCAAAATTATTGAGCGAGCCGCGCGCAGACACTGGCAGAAAAGACTTGCGCAGATCAACTCGCGCAGAGCAACCGGCGCAGAGCTACTTGCGCAATGGCAAGGGTTTGGAACGATGGGGATGCAGCGGGCTCCGGCGTGACCAAGTGCTATTTTGGCTGACGCTAACGATGCCGACGCTAACCTCAGGCTGAAGCTTGAGAAGCGAGCGCGTCAGGCAAAAGCTTGGCCCAAAACATCCCAACACAATTCCCCGGTGCTTTCTCGCTTTCGCCAATCCTCTAGTTGTTTAACCGGCTATACCCTTGCTGAACACTAGGTACGAAGGATTCTGGAAGGATGGAAAGCAGCATGGGCAGGGGCAATACACCACCTCGGACTGGCGGAGTGGGGAAGGGCTTGTGGGTTTCGGCGAGGATGTTTCTTGATCTCCGGCATGTTTGTCCACTTGAACATGCAAGTTGAGCTGGTGTACACTTGAAAAGGGTTGCGGATGGGTCCAGTGCACATTTCAAATGCTGATTAGATAAGCATCACGCAGGCTGAGTCTGGTGCCTTCAAGTGCCCAAACACTTGATACGGCTTTCAATAGGTCTCGCACTCCCCCTGGCGGTGGTTGTAAGCCCGAAAGCAATCCGGTTAGGACGGCGTCAGCAAAATCGCGCAGTGGGAAGGTGGACGACGACAGAAGGCAAGACACCTAGACGCATGCGTGCACGTGCTTGAAGCAGTTGGCGTCATTTGCGCACTCAGCCGCTCAGCAGCCTCTTGGGTGGGTGAATCCCTTGCTCAGGCGCACTGACTTTTCTCGTGGCACCATCCACGGTCAGCAAGCGCGTGCCTTTCTGTGTCCACCATAATTTATTCACTTTTCTTGACGGGGCAAGTCTGACCTGCAAGAGGCAGGCGTTGATTGAAGCACTTGTCAAACACGGCCGAACTTGCTCTTGGAAGATGCCGCTGATGAGCACTTTAACACCACACAGTTCTTGCTAAGACGACCTTTTTGCAGTCAGAACGCGGGAATGGAGCGCTGCCCAGACATCCTGAAGGCTAGCAGAATGCCTTGCAGCCTTCTTGTCAGCTTGGCTCGGCTCAAGCCAAGCCAGCGATGTTTCACAGACGCGAGTGAACGCACTGGCTAGAGCCAGTTCAATTGTGTTGGTGTTTGATTCAGATACCTTTTTAGTTCACTCCTGCCTGGCAAAATGTGGCGTATCGCATATCTTGGCGCCCCTTTGGCTTCACGAGCACAAGCTGCCTTTGCCAGGTGCAAAATCGAAGAAGTTCGAGAGATCACGCTGGACAGGCTCTTGGAGGCCTTGGCAACCCATCGTCATATGGCAGACCTGTCAGCGAGCTGTTGAACGGAAGAGAGGCAATTCGGCATCGAACTCTGCGACCTTGCTTTGTCAAAGTCTTTTGACCTTGAAACTGCTTTGCCACTGCCATCGCTTTGGAAGTGCCTCAGATATGCTTATGATGCACCAACGCGCCTCGCGCCTGTGAACCTTTCGGAGCCCGACGCCAAGAGGTGAGCGGCTTTGGCGAAGATGCCGCAATGAAAACCAAGGCTCTGCTCGTTTGTCGGCCGCTTCAGGGACATGTTGAAAGAAACGGCGCCCAAGAGCCACATTCCTGTCAGTCGCTGTCAATATCTGAATCCTTGGTGACATTCTGAGCTCTTGTGATCTGTCTCTTTCAAGATGCTTTACATCTATGTGTTTTGTGTTTTTTTTTGTTTGTTGTTGCGAGATTTGTTTTCGGTTCCCAGCGTAGGTGACGGACTTGGAGCTAGAGCTGCTCGAGCGGATTGGCTTCCGCCTGCTTGTGGAGCCCAAGCCTGGCGCAGCGCTGCGTGTCCTCGCCGAGGCCGGGAGGGGAAGCCGAGAGCAATAGGAACGGAGAAAGGGAAGGAGGAAAAATGACAGAGATGAAAGAAGAGGAACAGAGGAAAGAAGATAAAAGAAGGAAAAACCCACGGGGACGAGAGAGGGGTCCGGTAAGGATCTAGCATGGAGAAGCATAGAGAGAAGGCATGGCGTTTCAGACCTTTGGATAGGACAGCCGCGAGCGTGTCGGGCGCCCGGGGAGACATGAGTCTTTGCATTTTTGCTCGCTCAATTTTGGCCATTCCCGGAAGGGAAAGGAGGGCACGGGGCCGCGCGGAGGTGCCGGGTTTTCCTCTGAGCCAAGAGGCGCTGCAGGAGCTGCTTGCGCGGGCTGAGAGCCTGGCCGCATCCTGAGCGCCATGGGATGCCATGGGATGCCATAGGCCAATATGGGCCATGCCCCCACACGCCGTGCCATTTCAAATGGCCGTGAGGTTTTCGAACTCTGCGCGTGTAGCCATGCAGTGCTTCACTATCCAGCGTCAATCATCTTCTCTGCCGCCTGGGGGACAGCCTTGGATGAAGGACCGCTCTGGTGAATCCAGTGGCCAAATGTCATGCCAATCCTTGCAGGCTCAGGCCTTGACCGACAGCCAGGTCGGAGAGTCTTGCCTGTGCAGCTCCCTCGCGGCATGTTTCATTGGAAAGGCGCCGCACCCTCCTGCGCACTGCTTGCCATGCTCGCTGAGACCTTCAAGGCAGCCGCAGCACTCCTGCGCTTTGAGTTGTGCGATGTCCAAGGATCCTGCAGATAGGGAAGCTCTCTCAAGCCTTCTCAAGGCCTCTGCATGCTTGATGGTACATGCTTTGGCAGCTCCGCCCACTCCGGCCTCGTTTTGCTGCCTCTGGGCAAAACTTTGCAGGAGGTGTTGAAGGCCATGAAGCAGGTCAGTTGCGAAACTGGTTTGGGCAAAGCAGCCATGCAGGACTGGCGTGTGACTGGGCTCAGAGCGCAACTTCTCTGTGTGTGCGTCAGTGTGCGTGTCTGTGCAGCCAGACCCTTCGGCACCAGCACGTTGTGTCATACAGATGTACTGAGTGAGACGTGGCGATACGTGGCGTAGTCATGCCCTGCGGGCGCAGAAGATGGACCCCCAACGCGGCACTGTGGCTTTTCCAAGGACGGACTGGAGAAGCCTACGAGCACGTCGCCATTGGTAGGTACACCTTCGAAAAATTGCACAGGTTTTTGCAGGGATGAAGGCCCACATCTTACGCAGCGACATTATATTACGTGTTGCGTAAGGACACAACTGCGTAGGCCCGCGGTTGGCGTGTCATGCCCATTTGCTTTTCGTGATGTTAAGCGTTGTTGCGGGGATGGTCAGCCGCGAGGTTCCAACAAAGTAAGTGTGAGTTTCCCAAATTCAATATCAGTCGATTTCGCGTAGACGTCGCGTACTTCCGTTGTATTTAGGCAGGTGTGCTTCGAGTTGCGCACGTGTACTAAAAAGCTGCGATGATTGAGCGGGAGCTGCCAATGTACCTTCACTCCACTTGTCCTGACAAGTTGCGATGTTTGAGCTGGGGCTGCCAAAGTGCACTTCGTGCGCTACACTTGTAAAAATGTGTAGCTGCTAAAGTGCCTGCGTGTACTACGGTGGTACTCGTATGTTGCTTGCGCAAGTGTGCTCGTGCAAATGCGCTTGCGCGATGAACGCTCGTCGTGCAAGTGTGCTCGCGCGAGCGCGCCCGTGCAAGCTCTCTCGAAAGAGTGCTCGCGCAAATGCGCTCGCGCGAGTGTGCGCGCGCCAGTGTGCTCGTGCGATCGCGCCTGTGTGCTCGTGCGAGAGCGCGCTTGTGCAAGTTCGCCAGTGCGCTTGTGCAAGTGTGTTTGCGCGTTTGTTCTTGCGTAGCTGCGCCCGTGCGCTCGAGCAAGCAATGTGCTCGTGCAAGTTTGGGCTTGCGAAAGTGTGCTCTCACAAATGCGCTCGCGCGAGCGAGCTTGTGCAAGTGCCCTCGTGCAAGCGTGCTCGCGCGAGTCTGTAGCTGTGCAATCGTGCTTGTGCAAATGCGCTCGCGCGAGTGTGCTCACGGGAGGATATTGCAAAGATTGCTCGGAAGTGTGTGACGCTCAGGGCCTTTTGGAGACAAACTGAGATTCATATGAGTCATAGACACGCTTCATTTGCACGGTGTGCTCTTGCAGGCCACCGAGCCTTTGGATTCATCCATGATGAGCGCAAGCAGCGGCATGAGGCAACGCATTAGGAAGGTATCGTGCCGGCTGTTGAATCTTTTGGAGGCTCACCGAAAAGAGCGGAAAAGGCGGCGGAATGATTTGAAGGACAAGGTGGGCTCACCTTTTGGCCCCTTGAAACCTCTTGGGCCCCCGGCTGATCAGGAGGCCACGATGTTCAGAATTGCAGATTTTGCAGATTTGAAGCAGAAGGCCCAGGCAGGTGACACGTGCTCCAGTTAGTTTGTATTCCCTTCCAAAGCGCTGTGTCAGGCCCTCCAAAGCCATGCGCAGTGCTTAGGTTCCGTTTCTGATTTACGATGCCAAAAGGACGAGAGCCAAGGCCATGGATGAGGAGTGTACAGCCGCGGGGGGGTGCGTTCAGGAGCTATATTTGTGCGTTGTGTTCCTTGCGCCCGCATCAGGACTTTGTAATTCACGGGCCTCGTGATATGGAGGAGGACTAGTTGACAGGTCCATGCCAGAGCTGCAGAGGGCCTGCGTTCGCTCTTCAGCTCAGCTGTTTGCACTGCAGGCTTTTGCATGCTCCAACCTGATCGGGGCCGAACGAGCATTGTTGATTGTGTGACAGCATGAATCAACTGACCTTGCATGAATCGAATTCCCTTTAGCTTTGCCCAGATCGCTGCTTGCAGCTGCCAGTGCAGAAAGTCTCGAGTTGCTTTTTGTACTGGTGAACGACCCGGAAGATGTAGCTGATTTCGCGCTGAGCCGTATCGGGATCAGTAAAGAGTGGAACAAGCAATTCCTCAGCCATGATGCGCCGCGACCTCTGACGATTCTTAAAAGTGCAAGCTTCCCAAACCCAAAAATCCAAAGTTTTTGGATCTCTCGCACTCGTGTGCTCGAGTCAGGTGCGGCTGGTGCAAAGGCGGCGGCCAAAGCCAAGGCCAAGGCCGGTGCCAAGGCGGCGCCAAAGGCGGCGCCAAAGGCGGCCGCAGGCGCGGCGTACGTTGTGTGGGGTTCAACGAGGCCATTTTCTTGGCAGGTTCCGACGCTCGGACGGTGCGAACCTTGAGTATGTTCGAATGACTATCTTGGAATGTGAGATGTGTTTCGTACTTTGCCAGTTCACTTCGTTCACTGCTGTGAGTGCCTTTCAATATCTCTTACTTCTCTTACTTCTCTTACTTGTTTGAGGTGCCTCAAGATTTCCCACCACTGCCCGGTCTGCCGTAGTGGCCTTAGTGGCAGCCATGTGTGGCTTCACGACTTTCGCCTGTCTCGAGGCCTTTGCCCCTGGAGGCCGATGGATAAGGAATGATAAGGAACATCGTGAAGCAGTTGATGACAAAAATGCACAAACGTGGCAGTTTCGTTCGAGTTGACTCGATCCAATTCGATCCAATTCGATCCAAGAACTGCTAGGCATTGACCGTGGGCGAGGAGATCGGCAAGGGCCGATTTAAGAACGTGGCCCGATTTAAGAACAGTTGGAATCTGCATAGCTTCCCCTCCGTCTCTCAGGTGAACCGAGGAGTGCTGAAATCCTATGTTGGGAATGACGGGAATGAGGTGTGCCGTGCGCGATGTGCTGCCATTCCGTGCTTTGTATTTGTTCTTGATATGGCCACGAATTTTAATGAGAAACCTCCTCGAAACAGAAAGGGACGGTGGACATTCCAATGAGTCCTAATGTAATTATATGATGTCCACCAGAGTGTCCCCCATTAAAGTTCATTCCTATATTTGTCCCATGCAGACATTAAGTTGGTCACTTTCCAGGCTGACCGGGATATTGTCCTGCTCTCAGAGAGAACTTACGAAGCAGTTCCTTGTATAAATCTTGCAATTGACACATACCCAGGTGGTGATCCGATACTCTAGGGGAAAACCGGAATGCATCATTGAGCTGCAGGCGAGTTGCAGATGAGATCTCTGAAGTTCAACTTTCAGCTTATCAGGTGCTCAGCCGCTTAGCCTTGTTGCAAGAAGCAGCAGACAACGTTCCACGAGTTTATGGAGCTGCCGAACAAGGCTTGGAAAGTGATGGCTATACCACCTGGTACAAGGGTCATTTTGGATCAGGCCGTGATCTCATTCTGGTTCAGGACCGGAAAGCAGAGCGTTGTTGAATTCTCTTTGTTTCAAATCGTTTCGATTTGGCAGTGCTTGGAATGTAGGAGCGTGCTGCTTTCGGGAGCCTAAAGGCCACTTGCAGACTTGGTCGACCATCGCTTTTAATGTGTGTTGTTGACAAGGCTGTGGTGCAAAATGCGGAGGGGCCTTGGACACCTGCGCACGGTTTGCGCACAGCCAAGCAGGCGAGGTGTGCTTGCAGAGCAGTGAAAAGCAGTGAAAAGTATCGATGGCAGACATGTGCATGTCAGATTGCCTCGGGCATGCACTCTCTCGAAAGTGCCCGCGTGGCAGAGCGCTGAGTTTGCTTTGGAGGGCCTTGTTCAGTCCGTGTTTTGTTTGCGTTGCGTGTCTTGTTCGCCGGGCTTGGCTTTTGCGGGTTTGTGCGAGTTTCTGCTTTTTCTTGGCTTTCCATATCCTCACCAGAAACACCCCCGGGCCCCGAGAATCACAACATGAGTGTAATCAGTCGCCAAATTCGCCAGTGGTGGTGGTAGTGAACTTATTTGTGTTCGGCCCCTAGACCACCACTGAACCAACACCAACCTGAAACCACACCCAAGCCCGCCCTACACCCACCCAAAAACCCACCCTCCTATATAAAGAAACCTTAAACCCGCCCAAGCAATAGACTCCCAACCCCAAACCAACCCGAAACCCAGCCGAAACCACCACTACGCCCTAAACAAACAGCCCACGCCCAAAAGTGCTAAACTCCCCCTGAGCTCAACAAACCCTTTCCCAACCCTACACCCAGCCTGAAACAACCCAACCCTAAGCCAACCCAGTCAAACCCCAACCCACCCTAAAGCGCAGATGAACCAACAAAGACTAAACCCAACTTTTCAATTCCAACCGAAACCAATCCTAAACCGTTCTAGCATCCCCAGCATCGTGTTTACCACCCTCAGCATCACCAGTGGCTGCTGGTTTAAGCTTCAGCTTTGGTTTAGGCTACGTTAAGGGTGGGTTCAAGGCTGGCTTGGGGTCGGGTTTGGAGCTTGCAGGGCAAGCTTGATGTTAGGTTTGATGCCGGGGATGCTGATGTTGCTACTGCAAAGTGATTGCAGTTTGTTAGAAGCTGCCGTGGAATAAGTTTTAGCACCGAGAGCGCATACAACAACAACATGAGGAAAGCAAAGCACTCAATCTGGAACTGGTTGCTTTCCTCTTGGAATGGGTTGGACTTGGTTTTTGGGCGTTTGGCATGAAGCTGATCTCATCTGATTGCATGTTCGGACAGCTAATGTAATGGCAGGGCTGCAGTCAGGAAACCGGATTTGAGGTGGCAGGTCAAATCGAACATGAAGGCACCATATCATCTACGCCACGACACTTCCGTGATCCAACCCATGCTGACAAAAAACTAGCGAATAAAAGCTGACGTCGGATAATTGTTTTGTTTGTGTGATTAGCCATGGTTCATATCATCATCAGGGACGTCGCGTTAGTGACCGACCTGTGGTGTTTTGGCTCAAGTTTTGGATCCGGCGCGCCTCGGATGAGCGTCGCCGGGCCCTCACGTCGACCGCCTTCGTGTCGGAGGAGAAAGAGACTTCGGCCCGGGGTAGGTTGGTGGGGATCGCCCGTGCGGTTCATCGTCGATCTAGGTTGCGGGTATCCTTTTCTGGTTTGGTTTGTTTTCCTTTGGTTGTTGTTCTCTGGTGTGTGGGAAACCCTGATCTTTGGGACCGGGGATTGGTTTGCTTTTGGGGAACCTTTCTTTTGTGGCTTGTTTACCCCAACTTACCCATTGCCTGGGCACAGGTTCGTGCCCGAATCACAGGTTATCAGCCGTAGGACTTTCCTACGCGCTTGAGACCATCAACTACAAGCTCTATGTCGACCCCACGATCTCGAAGGAGCGTCGTGGATGAGGAGGCCATCCTAGGTGGCCTCCGCTCAGGTGAGGACCTACCGGACTATGACTACGAGGATTTCGAAGCAGGTTCAACAGGTCAGGACCGCAGGGGTGAAGATCCCGGTAGGGATACACCCAGGAGCCGTGGCAGGTACGCCGACGATGGAGACGATCGTATTTTCCGCCAGGCCACTGATGACGAGCAGACACGAAGGGTTTACTCCGATAGGAGTGGCTCTGAATCAGGTCACAGGCGTGGACGTTTTGACTTCATCAGCATGGCGATGGACATGGCCCGCCCTCATTCGGATGACCCGGAGGCCATGCCGATTCGACCTCCGAGATCTCTTGTTCCAGGTGAGTCGCAGGTCTCGGATGAGTTTGAGAATAGGCCGCAGGGACCAGGGACTATGGTTCTGGCTCCGGGAGGTATCCCGGGCCGATCCACTGGTTCTCAAAATCCAGGTCAGTTTGATGAGCACGAGGAGCGGAAATTCACGGACTTCGGATACGATGATCTGTTGAAATCAACCGCAGGTTGGGGCAGTAGCTCAAAGCAGGGATCTGATGCCGGTAGGCCCAACCCTAATACTGCCAAATCTGAGTCTTATGATGGCGAAGGTTACAATTTTGCGGATGAGGAGGAGAGCCATTCGCGCCGAAATGCAGGCAGCCGTGCGACTGCAAGGACTAGTCCCGCCGCTGCCAAGTTTGAGGTCGATGATGATGACGAGTATGCCGCATTTGCGGATCGCCGTGATGAGGAGGAGGACCAACCACGACGAAATGCTAGGATCCGTGATGCTGCGAGGCCCAGGAGCCTCTCTCGTGGAGCCGCCAGGGACCTTCGCGTTGACAGGGATGCCCGAAGCGAGAGAGAGAGAGCCAGGGACAGTCGGGAAGTTCTTCGGGGATTGGAGGCCATCCATGACCGTGAGGGACCGGTAGGTCCCCCGGCGATTGGTGATACCCCGAATGTTCCCCCTTTTCCCAACATTACGTTTGGAGGTCCGTTAAATCAGAGAGACGTGAACTCGAACCGGGTTACTGGTTCGCCGAGAGTCACTGAGCGGGTTGCCGATGTCGTTGGGAGAGGTGCAAGAGATGGCCGGCTTGCCGATGCACTCGGAATCGAGGATCGTCCGTCGATCGCTAGCCCGTTAGGGCGAGATACCAGTGACCTTGAAACGCTAAGGTCCAGCAACGAGTTCACACCTCAATGGGGCTCGACCGCCAGGGAACGTAGTGCTTCTGCGAAGAGACCGTCACCCCTGGCCATTGAGACCGATAGGTCGAAGGCGAGGAGGGCTAGCCCCTCACCAATGGACTCAACTCCGCAGGATGAGGAGATGCCTGATCCTGCTGATGTTCACATCCACTCTACTCCCGAGTCTCGTGCGTCCCATGTTGATCCCCGTTCCGGCGATAGCCGTAGAAGGGGTTCTACCCCTAGCAGGCCATCTGGGGCTGGTGATAGTCCTGTGGATGACCCCAGAAGATATGCTAGAGCTAGTGGGGCTCCTGAGAGGATCGAGATATCGACTCCTCCAGCACTCAGGTCTCATTCTTCCGGTGAATCAGGTGACGCTAGGGCAAAGGAGGTGTTCGATTTGCGCATCCAGGAGATGCTCGAGAGAGGTGAGGTTTCTGGCTCAGTCGCGAAAGCGTTCCATATTTTTGCTGACCAGATCAGGTTACTGAACGGTCAAGTGAGTTCCATGAGAAGGGAATGGAGCGACGAGAATCAACAGACGAAGTACAAGGTCGATCGACTGGCAGCTGAGGTTGCGACTCAATCTGATGCCGGGAGGATGCGAATGATAGTTCAACGGTTCGCAAGGGAAGTTATTCCCGATAGCAATTGTGAGGCAAGCCATCGATGAGCAAGCCGAGGTCGTGGAGCAGAGGATTAACCTACTGTCCCACGAGGTCCATGAATCTGTCAAGGACAATGAGGCATCGACTGATCGGCTTCGCCTGATGATTCAGGAGAATAGTGAGGCTGCCCGCAGAAGCCATGCTGCTTCTGAGGACGAGATCCTTAAGGATTTGGACAAGCTTGAGAAACGGATGTTCTCGGTAGAGAAAACCGTTGGGATGCGGACACCAGCAGGTGTATGGAACCCGAATCCTGTCGCGCATCCGTCCGATAGGGCCAGCGGCAGTGTAGTGGATGCAAATTTCAGGGAGTTAAACCTGAAGATCGAGAAAGCTCTCCTTGAACACGAGACATTTGCCAAGTGGGCCTCTGAATCTATTGAAGGGATCAAAGAAGAGCACACTCGTCTTGTTAATCGAGTGTCGAGACTGCAGAGTGGAAGGGGTTCTCAGGAGGTCGATAGACCATCAGAACATGATTCCCCGCAGGACTGGCATGAGGCTATTGACGAGATCAATCGGAAGATGCAGGATCTGGCTCGAGGAATTCAACGTCAACGTCGGGATCATGACGACATCATTTCAAGGTTTGAGACCGTGAAATCACATGTTGAACAGTATGAAGCGAAATCGGCAATTGTGAATCGGGTCGTTGATGGTATCCAAGGACAGATCCGTAATCTTCCTGCAAGCAGTGACCAAGTGCAGCCTGCCGTTAGGCGAGAACTCGGCTCGTTCCGGAGTACGCTTGAAGGCGTTATGCGGAGAGTCAGCGCTATCGATGGTAACGTGCGTAATCTTAGCGCAGCGAACAACAGAATCATGTCTCAGCTCTTTGAAATGGAGGGTCAATTTGACGAGGCCGCTGGCATCATTCAGGGTGTCCAGCAGATTAATGAGGCTCCTCAACAACCCAGAGAGAGACGGAATGTTGGTTACGATGCATTTGCGGGGCAGGGACATAGGATCAGGTCTCCGACGCCCACACCCGGGGAAGGTGACGGCCGGGGTACTGGCCGTCCGGTGAGACCAGGCGGAGGTGTTGGTTTGACTGACCAGGTTTTGCCGAATGTGCCCGATAGGGTCGATCCTTCTCGTGCAGACAGGCATCCAATATATCCCGTTAGGGAGGGGTCCGAAAGCAGAAGCCGGAGGGCTCGAGGATTACCTGACAGGTCGCATTCACCGCCAGGGCGTGCGAGGGATGGCCCCCGCGCGCGCGCAAGGGGGGACTTTTCTGTTTCTCCAAATAGGGATGTGGGTAGGAATAGGAGCCCGAGGCCTGCCGCCGTCCCCGATAGGGGATCTGAGGTCCGAAGTCGGCAATCAAGGGGGGAGAGGCCAATCCGCGATAGCGGGAGCATCTCTCCGAACCTGGATAGACCGATCCGCGATAGCGGGGACGTCTCTCCGAACCCAGACCGTCAAGGTGGTAGGGGTATTAGGGCCCATGTCGATACCCAGAGTCCCGGCGATGACTGGAGGACTCCTGGGAGCAGAGCTAGTGCAGACGTCCCGAGTCCCGGCGAGAGGTGGAGGGCCCCTGGAGCT